TATTAAAATACTGAAATAATGTAATTAGTGTACTGCAGAAGGGGATAGCATACACCACAATGAGGTAAATTAGGTTTAAAATACAATTGTGGTATATACAAAATGTGTATTAGAATATATGTGTAATGAATATGTGTATATATTGTATATATAATATTTAATAATACTTACGCCATAATGAAGACTTGGGTTGACACAGTTTCGGTTGCAGAAAGTGAAAGTGTGTCTGTGGCAAACCCTTACCCAATGAAAACGAAACTTAAATTTACACGATACAGATGTTAAACAAAAAAACGCAAGATCAACAATCATATCTAGACGGGAAATAAAAAAACAACCATTGACCACTAGGGGGTGACCACTCTTTGCTAGAAGAATGAATTCTCACATTGACAGTGTTTATTTTTAACATTTTAAGTACAAATCACTATGTGCTTTTATTAAATATATTAGGAAATATATTAGGTCTTAAATTAAAATGAAACAAATACAACAAACAGAGGAATGTTACCTAACGTGCAGAATCTGAAAATAAAAATCAATTCTGGACAAACCAACGAAAGACAAGAAGATGGTGAGCAAAGTGACATATTTGTGGAATACTACACACACGCAGGAGCAAGTGCTCGCTTAGATCAAGAGAGCTTTGTCATCAGGAATGAGCTTTTTGAGGATTTGGTTTTAGATACTTTTCATCAGTTCCTTCACATTTTATGTTGCACCAAATGGAAGTTGTCAACTAATATTAGGAAGGGATGATGACAGTCAAGCTAGTTGTAAATTTGTCCCAGCAAATTATAAACATTCCTGACATCAACATTTCTCGAAAGTTATATACCCATCCATCCATTTTCTAACAACTTTATCCATTACAGAGTCACGATGGTGAATACACATGTAAGTTGTGGATAAAAACAATAGCCCAATAGATTACTTATAATTGCATCACACTTTGTTGATTGGTATAGAAGTCTATTTTGAGATGAGAAATTTTAAAGAATACACTAAATTATTCGTTGGTCCTCTGGATGCTATCGTTTTCTCTATACAATTGTTCTCTGGCACTCTGGTGTTTTTTGTTTCACCAGGAATTTCAGTGCTGAATGCACAGCTTAAAAGGCTAAAATGTGTGCTGCTGCTGAGAGGATTCTTCTAGTTCTAGCCAGCAGCCATATCACCCTGCAACTGATAACTGGCAGCCCACTGAAGCTAAGCCTGGGAAAATCTAAGGTTGCTGCTGGAAGAGGTGTTAGTGGGGCCAGCAGAGGGCGCTCACCCTGCGGTATATGCAGGTCCTAATGCCCCAGTATAGTGACGGGGACACTATACCGTCAACAGGGGTCGTCCTTCGGATGAGACGTAAAACTGAGGTCCTGACTCTCTGTGGTCATTAAAAATCCCGGGGTGTTTCTCGAAAAGAGTAGGGGTGTAACCCCGGCTTCCTGTCCAAATTTCCCATTGGCCCTTACCAATCATGGCCTCCTAATAATCCCCATCTATGAATTGGCTTCATTACTCT